GAGCTGGGCCTGTTCAGCCTGAAGAAGAGAAGGCTGGGGGGGGACCCGATCAGTGTATATAAATACCTCAAGGGAGGGAGTGTAGAGGATGAGGCCAGCCTCTTTTCAGTGGTGGCCACTGACAGAACTAGAGGTAATGGCCATAAAATGAAACATAAAAAGTTCCACAGCAACTTGAGGAAAAATTTTTTAACAGTGAGAGTGCCAGAGGCCAGCACCAGGTTGCCAAGAGAGGTTGTGGAGTCTCCTTCTCTGGAGATCTTCAAAACCCGCTTGGATGCAGTCCTGTGCCACGTGCTCTAGGTGACCCTGCGTGTGCAGGGGGGTTGGACTAGATGATCTCTAGAGGTCCCTTCCAACCTTAAGCATTCTGTGATTCTATGAAAACCTGGTACAGTGCTTTCTTCAGAAACATGAATGAACAGTGTTGTGTCTTTTGTTTGTTTGTTGAGCAGGGTGCATTTGGAGCTCTTCAGAAAATATGTGAAGATTCTGCTGAGATTTTAGATAGTGATCTATTGGATCGACCACTCAATATCATGATTCCTAAATTCTTACAGTTCTTCAAGCACAGCAGTCCAAAAATAAGGTAGGTTTAGATTATGCCCTACAATTTTATGTTAAATTTTTATTTACATGAACAGCAAGATTGGTATTTTAGAGCTGTAATTTGTTCTAAATCTTTAAATGATCCTGCATGTGCAAATGTGAGAAGGCGCTGAGATTCCATGCACCAATAATTCCCATGTTTATCTGCTTAGCTAATAGACCTTGCCCTTACCTGTTTCTCCTTATTCCATGTCTACAGTCAGTCTTATGATTTTGAAAATGAAACTGTTTCTTTTGTTTTGCATGCAGTCATAGAAATTTCAGTGTTGTGAATAAAATTGATAATTCTTTCTAATTAGAATACTAAGTGTGCCTCATTCGTTTTGTAATGACTGCAGCAATGAAAGAGCCCAAAGTTTCTGGGTTTTCACGAAGATTTTTTTTTTTTTTTTTTTTGCTTTTTCTTGACTGCATGAAAACTTCAGAAAACTTTATTTTTCAGCTGGATCGTAACCTTTTCACTTTAATACTAGGTGGATCTCCAAAGTAACAGAAATATGGGGTAGAAAAAAAGATTTCAGAATTAACCTGTTTTTGCTGATATTTAATAACAAGAACAGTAACCCTTGTCCTAAAGGTTGTTTTGGAAACCCTGTTTGGAAGTCATCTCAAGAGATGATCTGCAACTTGAAGGATGGATTTCTTATTACGAACTGTAGTAGATAAAGGGAGGAATATAATGGGAAACATTTAATGTTAAGGTTATAATAAGAATTAAAAACTCACTTAAATGTGCATCTGCATACTGAGAAAAGTGTACTCAAGGCATGATCTTGGGGAAAGATTAGGCAAGAAAGGGACTTGTGGAAAGATACAGTTTTTCTTCCTTGGAGGAGAGAGGTGGAGGAAAAAAAACTCTTGTTTTTGTTTTCCTTAATATTCTACATGCAAGATTTTTTGGGGGGGAGGGGAGAAGCTTGTCAGGGAGGTCTTCTGTTTAAGACTTTGTTAAGCCAACTTCAAATTTTATGCAGGATATATGCTGATTTGTAGTTTGGTTTCAGTGGCTGATGTATGAAGAATATTAGCAATGTCTGTCAATTATTTTATATTTAAATCTGTCAAAAAATCTGAAAGACACTTTGAGATTTTATCTTCCACGAAATACCTGAACAGAAGAGATGTTCAGAGTTGTTAAAAATATTTGAATTGTTCTTTAAAGGCTTTGAAAGGTAACTTTGCTTTGTGCTTTTACTTCTGGAATTGGGCTATTAAATCTTTGATTACTCTCCAAATCAGTTTGTATGAGGTGGAATAGAATATAAGATGGTTCCTTCTAGTAAACTTTTGCAATTTAAAATTCTGGCCTACTGCAAGTGTGTATTCTGAGCTGTAACTGTGTTGTTGACGCATACTGGTCTTTTTAATTACTTAAAAATACTGCAAAAGCAGTTGGTTACTTGGCAATGAAGGGCATAGTAAAATTTCATTATGTTGACTGGTATGGAATCGTTAATGGCAGAGATGATCAGTAACTGTAACATATTCAAAAAGAACAGCCTTGGAAAAGTTCTGGCAAAATGATCCAGGTATAGTCATTCTGCTGTGTTTTTTATCTTAATTAGTTTAAAATATTTATTAGATACGTTAGAATATCAGGTGGTACCTAAACTGTCTTCTCTCAGAAAATGCAAGATTTGGGCAAATTTTCCTTGCAGACTGGAGGCATCTAGGGATTTTATGAAAAATGAGGAAGAATTTGCAAACCAACTTTCATTGTCTCTTCCAAAACATCATCTCTTGAGACTCAGTGCAAACCTTTCTGACAAAATGCTCAGTATAAATTGTCTGGATTTCTGCTAACCTTAAGTTTTATGTTGGTGAGAGTCTTATATTAATGTGCAGATTATTCACTTTTCTTTTAGAAAATATTTGATCAATGTGTTTTATTTTTATATTTTTTGTGCCTGTGTAAAGCTTAGGAAATAATTTTAAGACATAAAAATAACATCTGTCTACTGTTTCATTTGTAGGTCCCATGCTGTTGCATGTGTCAATCAATTTATCATCAGCAGAACTCAAGCTCTTATGTCGCATATAGATTCTTTTATTGAGGTAAGTGTTCATTCTTGTTTACTGTAGGGATTTTGTTTGCTTTCTTTAAAATTTCAGATCTGCCTTACCAAGAGCTTTGAATAGTGCTCTAGAATACCCAACTTCCCCACAGATCTGGCTTCCCATCCCTATCTTCATATCGACCCCAAGTCAGTGCAGTTCCCTCCATGTGCTTGCGCCCTGAGCTCATCAGTCCAAATGGTGTCCCAGCTCAGGAAGCATTAGCTGTAGAGATGCTTCCTTTCCATAAGTGGAACCTCTCATTCTGTAAAGATGTAAAAGCAGCGACAGAGGTCTGTCACCCGTGATGGACTGAGGCAGAGTTTCTGTCCTGGGACTGTCTCACTGAGCCCATCTAAAATGATGAGGATCTCTGAATGCTGCTGAATATGGATTAGAAAAGTTATTTTTGGAGTTATCTGGAGTACCTGATTTGCAGCTGTTAACTGAAGCAATTTTATGGCTCTAGACCCTAATTTAGGTTTAAAAAAAAATCAGGAAATAATGTTGTGGTAGTAGACACTACTGTTTTGATTGTGTGTACCATGAATGTTATTGAGATTATGAGTACCAGCTTTGCTCAGCTGGGTGTCTTTAGGAAATTATGTGGTATTCTGGTGAGATGCAGAGGTGGGAAGGGAACAGAAGTACTGCATACTTCAGTTTGCTAATAACGTCAATTTAAATAAAAGATGCACTGGATAAATTGAGGCCTTTCTAACCAATATTGCTTTCCAACAGAATCTTTTTGCGTTGGCTGGTGATGAGGAACCTGAAGTTCGCAAAAACGTTTGCCGTGCTTTGGTAATGTTGCTGGACGTTCGAATGGATCGCCTTCTTCCTCATATGATTAGTATAGTTGAAGTGAGTCTTGTTTCTCAAATTGCATGCAAAAATCTTTTTTGAGTTTTAGAAATAATTACAAAAAAAGACATCTATTGAAACATGTATATTGTTCTTAACACTTGCCTACTTCTCATTTGCCGTCAAGGTTGATGCTGTAAAACTCGTTTTAGCTACTTGCTGTCTTGACATTTGTTTAACAATGCATGTAGCAGTTACCGATCTTCACTAAGGTGATCAGTTCTGTAACGGCCAGGATCAATTATACCGTAGCGCAGCCAGGCATTTTCTGTCCACAAGAGAGAAGACCATGTTGATAAGACAAGCAGTCAAGATACATTCTCGGGTTTTCACTGAGCTGTCAATGCATTGTTGTTCTTTGTTTGTTCTTGTTTGTTTGTTCCAGATGTGCTGACCACAATAAGGAAAGGCATGTTAGGTTATATGGCTGTGAAGCTGTCTGAGCTACTAATGAGTTTGTTTCCCTCTATGTTCAGTTACAGAGGTTAATGTAATTGGATAGCTCATTTATGGTTTGATATATGGTATGTGCAAATGGTATCCAAGAACTGTGGCTATTCCTCAGGCTTTACCAGGAGGCTTTTTTCTCCTTTGAAGCTTGAATGCTTCTTGAGATCAACGCTGCTGATGGTGGTTGCTCTTAGTAGGCGCAGAGAAACATGTATCTATGTGCTGCTCTATATGCCTATGGAGAATCTAATTTTTTTTTTTAAGTAGGTAAAATTCTTAATGATCCAGCAGCGATTCTGAGATTGAAGAGATTGAACAACATCACTTTGAAAAAGGCAGATTTAGTATAATGTTCATGCTGTGTTTCCAGAGCCCCCGGGAATCTTTTTTTTTTTTTTTGTTTGTTTTGATTATGTACTTCCAGGTGACCAGAAATAGGGGGGGGGGGGGTTTTGTATTGTTTTGGATTATATGGCATTGTTTTTGGTTTGGGATTTTTTTTTTTCCCCTGAGAACTTCCTAGGTTAGGAGTGGGCCTAGTTTCAATTGCTAGATTGCAATTCGCATGCTCACAAAGCATATTTATCCAAATACATGGCTAATTAGATCATTCTCAGGAGAAATAGACTGAGCCTAGACTGTAACACAAATAATGCACATTAAGAGAAGAAACTGTAGTGTGATGAATGTCTTCAGTTAGATTACAATTTGTCACCCTATTTTTGTCTTCCTCACCAATGTGTGAATATAACAAAATGGTGTATTTTCAGGCCCTTTGAGGGAAAATGTCAGATGTTGTTTTAATACATTTGTAGTAGTGAAGCCAGTGTCAGCTTTTCAGAGTTATGGTCAGTTTGTTGACAACTCAAAACAGTATTTTTCTTTGAGTTCTCAATGGTGGTAACTAAAATTTTGTATCTGCAAAATGTATAGGGAGGCAATGTTTGTCCCATTCTATTCAGTTTGGGGAATAAACCGGTATTCTGAAGCAACTGAAAAAAAATCAGAGAAATCTCTGAACTGCTTTTCACACTAGTAAAATATAAGACTATTGTTTTGTTATGGGTTCTACTTAATTATATCCTGTCAGGTCATCAACATTGGAAAAAGTTGTTTCTATGTATTGGATTGAAGCATTTTTTGTCACTTCTATATTAAATATGTAGTTGTACCTTCTTTGTTAAATTTGAAGGGGCAGAGAAAACTTCTATGGGAAACTGCTGTTTATAGTCACAAATGTCTCTGTAGTTTCTTGATAATAATGATCTAACTTAAGTAATGAAGATATTTTGGAATCTGAGTCATCTCACTAAGAAATAAAATTCTCTTACCTTATTCTCAATGTACCCTTAAGTAGTCTCTTAAGCCCAGCCCTACTCAAGAATGAAGTGACTGGTAGCATGACACTGGTGCCATACTCAGTTTTTGCAAAGATACTTTGCAATGTTGGTATATTTTAACTGGGCAATTAAAACTCATGTCTTATACAATAATTTATTTCTATATTGTGTAGTACATGCTTCAGAGGACACAGGACCAAGATGAAAACGTAGCTTTGGAGGCTTGTGAGTTTTGGCTGACTTTGGCTGAACAGCCAATTTGTAAAGATGTATTATGTCGGCATCTTACTAAGTAAGTATTAATAATTACAACAGTTAGTCATTTTTTAAATAGTCGTCTTTAAACTTCAATTGAGTTGTTCTATATACTTTTATTAAAATAATATCAGTTTTGCAGTGTGCTTAGAAGAATTTTCTTATAGTTAGCTCTCCTGCATAAATGACTGTAGAATGGACTTCACTGAAAAGACTTGTATGGATTTCAGACCTGATTATATCCAGAAGCAACCCAGCTGGGGCACTGTGGTGCTTTACCTCAAGCTTCTCAGCCTCTAACTCAGGTGGAAGAAAAGATGCACCAATGTGATCTTAAGCTCAGATTAACTTCTCCATATGACATGACCTTTAACATCTGGTATACTGTGGTACATGTGTATGTACAGCGTTGACATGTGTTGTTTTGAGTCAGTTATGTCTCTGATTCTGTTCTCTTGGTCAAAATTTTGAGAAAGATGAGATGAGCATTGCAAATGTGAAGCAATAAAAATAGCAAAATTTCAGTTTTCAAAAGCAATTAGAAAGTGAATTAAGATTAAACCATCTGCTGTAGCTGTTGAGGAATATGAATTGAAAGCAGGAGAGCTGGTGTTATGAAAAATGATTTTTAAATTTTAGAATAGTTTAATTTCACTTGTAACTTGAAAGGCAGAGTGATAGCACAGTTCTTCATTCCACCCCCATTCCCACTTTAAGGCAGGTGACTGGTATTAAATCTCCTCTGGTCAGTATGGGCATTGACGTTAACATCACTCTCCTACGCCGTTTTGAAGAAATTGTTAAATTGTTATAACAACATAGTAGGAGAACAATAATACTGCATATCCTTTTCTGTGATCTTTCTATGTCTTGTTTATTGCTGGGGTCTTGATGGACTACTTATAGAATCCTCTGTCAATCAATATTTGATGATACTCTTAATTTTATATTAGATTAAAGATGGGAAAATATTTTCAAAAAAAAAAGGCACAAAAACCCCACAAACTTATTTGTAGTATGTATAACGTCTTGTTCTTGTGCATTTTACAAGAAAGCCTGTAGACTGTTATGCTGTATAAATGCTAAATAATTGGTATTAAGATAGCATTCAAATTAATACCAATTTTCTTCGATTAAAAATTCTGCAGGTAATATGCCATTGGGATATTTCACTTCAGAAAGTATTCTTTTCATTCGTAGAACATATAGGGATTGACTCCTGTACTTCAGTGTAATTGTAGTCCATAGACGTAACCAGTTTAATAACTGTGTGAAGTTCTAGGACAGATTAGTCAAAATCTTTTCCATGTTGGGGACTAAATTAGTAACCACAAAAGATGAAGGAGGCTTAATATAGTGAGACTTTGATGCTCAAGATTAGTGAGGTAAGGTAAGGCCCTCAGCCACAAGTGCAGTGACAAGTGATGGCCAACTAAGGATGGCTGGGATACGTTTACTCTTTAGTACTTATTTATCATGTATATTGTGGGAGTTTGAATTCTTATTCAAAAGCTTTAGGCTTAGTTTTTGAAAGATGCGTCTGGATAAACTTCATATTGAAGGATATTCCATTTTTTAAAGTGTAAAACTTGGTTCTCCAATTGGCTAGCTCTAGTTTGCAATTTGAAATTAACAGTTTTTTTAGATTACAAAATATTGATACACCTCATAAATGGAGTTTGGTTTAGGTACTAGTTTTTGTGAGTAAGCTATGTTTTCTTGGTTTGAGATTTTTGTGTGGCAGCCAAAATTATGGTCCAGGTAATTGGAAACTGGCTTGCTTTATGTGTTGTTCTGATATGTATCCTTTTTCTTTATAGGCTGATACCCGTGCTGGTAAATGGTATGAAATATTCAGAGATAGATATTATTCTGTTGAAGGTGAGTACCAATTTCTTATACTCTGTAAGAATATCTGCTCAGCTTGTGACCTGTAATTCGGAATGGTTTAGCTGGTACAACAGATCTGGTCTCTATTACTGATGTCATGGAGAACTAGCTGTAGGGGCACCCTATGTTGTTCCAAAATCTAAATGCTACTGTTACTGTGTCTGCTATTGTTGGATCTGTGGACTTTCTTGGTCACTATGCCTACCCATCTCAAACTTGCTCATGAATTACTGCAACAATGCAGCTTAGAAAGAAGGCTCAGAACGAGTCCTAATGACTTTCTGCACTGAATGACGTTGATTGTTTTTTTTTTTTTTTAAAAAAAAAAAAAAAAGTTTTGGAATATAACCAACTACCAGAATTTCTCTAAAACTTTTCACATGACTTTCTCCTAATTCAGTCACATCTAGAATTATCTCTTAACAAAAGAGATACTTTCTATGAACTTACATAACTTCTCTTTCTTATATTTCCCCTTCATTTTCCTGGAAAATAGTATAGTAGAATGCAGGAAAAATGTCATTTTTAGTTACCTGGGCAGCACAAGAGGCATGTGAATCTTTAATACACTTAACACAATCTTCAACTAAATTTTATATTACATTCTTAGTGTCTTTCAGCATTATAGTTGTACTAGTTTATCTGATTAAGCCATTCTGATGACAGGGGGATGTCGAAGAAGATGAAGCAATTCCAGATAGTGAACAGGACATAAGACCTCGCTTTCATCGCTCACGAACAGTGGCACAGCAGCATGGTATTGAAGATGGTACTGAAGATGACGATGACGACGATGAACTTGATGATGATACTATTTCTGACTGGAATCTAAGTATGTGAAATTAATGAATAAAACATTTAAAAATATAGGTAATTGTATAATAACCACAGTTAGATTTTTTTTTTTTTTTTTTTTTTTTTTTTTTGCTTTCCTCCCAGTACTGAGGCTTCCGTTTTGAACGGAAGCAGAAGTTTTTCAGATGTGTAACAAATCTTACCTTTGTATCTTCACTGACAAAAACTAGCTAGCTGTAAGCTTATTTCTTATGTTGAATATGACAGATGGAGCTGCAAGTATCTACTGGATGCAATTTAAGAGGCTTTTTGGCTAAGAATTTTAATTCTATAAGCTAATATAAACTGTGCTCACATTTAAAAAAAATACAAAAAACAAACAAAAAAAAACATAGTTTTACATTGCTTAGCTTCCTCAAGTTAAGATCAATGCTCTTTTTCTTTTTTTATTTTTTTTTATTTTACTCTTCCCTGTAAGATTGTGATTGTGTAGTTTTTTATTGCTTTGTTTTTATTTATTTTCCCCCATTTGAACCTACTACTACTATTACCAGCAATTACCAGTAGTTGTTTCTATATGTGAGAGATTTGCTTCTGAGCAGAATATAGAACTTAAGTTATGAAGAGATGAGATAAGAGGGAAAGCACATTTCTGATGATCTGTATGTGTCACAGGATCCTCTAGGTCAATGTGGCAAGGAAAGAAAACACCCTAATGGTTTTTTAAGCTCAATTATAAAAGACTGTGAGTGGAATTCTGATAAATTTGACATAAATATACTTTGCAGTCAAGCAGCCTCATTCTAGAGCAGTAAAAGATTTGTGTTTTGACTGTTTCTGTGTGAGATTTGTGATGACCACTTTCTCTTTTCATTGAGTCTGCTGCTAACCATCTGAAAAAGTAGAGCAAATTCTCGGGTCATTGGCTAATCTGAGAGTTGAATTCTCGGTTATGATTTGTAAGACTGAAAAAGTCTGACAACTTGGGAGTGTTGGAAACCTGTGTGATGTGGATTGATCTGATAAAATATATATTCCTTTTGAATCTAAAGTTTACAATTAGATTTTCTCATAAAAATAAGAAATCGCAATTTGTGTCAACAACTTAATATGTTATTTTGAGCTACTTCATAGAGCTCTTAAGGTGCAGAAATGGAACACCTGATCTTGGTGTCTGTCTCAACTTTCATTCAAAAGCTTCTCAACCCATTCATTTTATTTTGTTTTGGACTGTTTTGTCCTTTTCGGTGTGTGGTGAAAAGGTCTTGCAGAAAAGTTTGTTCCTTCCTTTCAGGTTGAAAATTCAGACATGTCCACATAAAATTATTTTCCAGAATACTGTTTTTTTGTGATAGATGAATGTAGCTCAAAGCTTATGCATCGAACAACTTTGAGTCATATCTGGATTTTTATTATTGTTTTCTTAGAAGAAAATATGAACATAAGTATGCTCCTTTTCTAAAAATCCCTTAATTAGAAAACAGTATAGCTCTAGATCCACAAAGTTGTTTTTGTCACCATTGTTTGGAGACATGACAGAACCAAATATAATTTTTTGAAAAAGATGTTTGAATTTGGGAGAGGGTGCCCTCTAATCCAGAGTTTTGGTGAGGAAGCTGAAGTTGACCAGGAATGGTGGATGGAAGGAGAAAGAGCCGGAGGGAGGTAGGAGTAAGTCTGTATTGACATGTATCAACTGGGCTTAAAAATATGTCAGTTATCTGAAACTGGAAACCGAATGTGCCCTATTTCTGGGACCAGAGTAGAAAAGTTTTGGGTTGATTTGTTCTGGTAGCTGCTACCTTCCAGGTGGAACTTTTCTATGCCTCTTGGGGCTTACTAGCAGTTTGAGTCGAGTTCAGGAGTTTTGAGTGTGACCTCTGATACCCGTCTTGTATATGCCTTCCTTCCAGTTGGATGCTTTTTGACAAATTTAGAAGGAAGTGAGGTGCTGAGCACAAGTGCAGTTTAAATTCTCTAATATAGGCAATCTTGTAAAACAAGCTTAATATTAGTTTTCTAAACATCATAATGCCACAGCAGAGAGCCAGAGTTAAGGAATTCTGAATCATTTTTTTGAAGCTTTTGTTGTTTATGAGCTTCTATTTGCTACAAGTATAGGATTAAAAACATCTAAAACTATTTTTCTGTGTCATCTTTATCCTTATGTTGGTGTATTAGGAAATAGGACTAAAGTATAAGAATTTAGTATAAAAGCCAGTACATTCCTTGCAGTCTCTAGAGCTTTATGCTTCTTTCTTTGACACAGGGATCACTCTTGAACTGGATTTAAAAAAAAAAAAAAAGTTCTAATGTTTTCTAGTGTTCTCTGCCATATCTCCTTCACCTTAGTTTTAGTTAGTATGTTACGTTCATATCACAGACCTTTCCTCTTTCTTAGTGTTACTCTATCCTGACTTTATGTAAAGTATGTGATGTTGCAGTGTAATGTTGGGGCTCTGCTCTTCGTGTTTTTATATCCCTAGTGTATAAGTCTTAATGGTTATGTAAGTGCAGCAAAACTGACATTGAGCCACTTTTTTAATCAGAGCACAGTGGATCACTGTGTCTTGTAGTAACTTAGAAGTGCTCTTTCTCTTCATGCCCAGAGACTCCACTGGCAGCTGAAAATTAAAACAAGGATTATACTGTCTGGCTAAACAGGTTGAATAGTATGCAGAGATTAACACTCTGTTATTTCTCCTCAGGGAAATGTTCTGCTGCTGCTCTAGATGTCCTGGCCAATGTATTTCGTGATGAACTTCTGCCACACATCTTGCCCCTTTTGAAGGAATTGCTCTTCCACCCAGAATGGGTAGTCAAAGAATCTGGCATTCTTGTTCTTGGAGCAATTGCTGAAGGTAAGTTGGCATCACCTGTCAGGCTGTTGAAATTTCTGGCTAGTTCTAAAGAAGCTTTGTAATTCCTTTTAGGTGAATTTACTCTTGCAAATAAGTGCATGTCTGTCTTGATATGGTTTCAATGTGTTGATTAACACCTGCATATGCTACTTGCTGACTGCAGTTTTTGCTTTAATTTTTCATTTTCAATGCTATGTGTAGTTGGGAGACTAAATAACTTGGATCATTTCCATTGCTCCTTCCCTGTTGTGATTCTGCTGTATGTATTTATAGGTCAGTCGTACTATCTTGGCCAGATGTAAAAGGAACACTAAATAATTTTAAGCCTTAATTTCATTTAATGCTTTCAAAATTGGAAAAGACAGTACTCCCATGACTTGAGTCCACTGAATTGCTTTTTGTGAATGGTTTTCGTGTTTAAATGCAGTGGCTTCAGTTTCTTTGTACTTACTCAAAGGCCAGTATTGCCATTTTTGCCAGTGTTTCCTGCTTCTCTCTGCATTTTGGAAACCATAGTAGTATATTGGGGACTATGCTGGGATTATCCTTGTTTTTCTAGAGTATATATTTTCTTTGTTGCTAGAGAACTTTTTTTGTTGGTTTTAATTTCCAGTCAAACAAAGCAAAAGTAGGCACTTTTGGCAAATCTCAACTTATTACTTCTGCCCTTGCTGATCTTAAGGTGTAGGTTTTTTGCTGGCCAATATTTGTGTAAAATTAGGAGAAAACAAGAAGAAAATATCTCTTAAGAATCATTTTTTAATGAAGTGACTTTTTGCTCTCAAAGCTGAATGTTTTTTATTTTTTTTATTTTTTTATTTTTTTTATTTTTTTTGAGGGGGAGTTCACTCTGAGTGGACTGATGTTTCTGGTAGGATTAGTACAAATGTGTCTGTTTGGATGTACTTGCTGTACTCCAGATAATAAAACAGAACCTCTGTTCTGGAGTTCGGAGAAGCACTGAAGTAGAAATATAACTGAGAAGCATGTAAAATTGATTGGGCACTTGCTAAGTATTGCTTATGGTGAAGCGCTAACCATGAATTAGGTAGATTGTATGTGATATGTTGTGAAACGTTTTACTGCATTTCAAGAAATAAATAAATGGAGGCTGTCTCTTGCTAACCGTGCCATGCGATATGGTGTTTTCCTGGCAGGCTGCATGCAGGGTATGATTCCATATCTTCCTGAGCTGATCCCTCACCTTATTCAGTGCCTCTCCGACAAAAAGGCTCTTGTGCGCTCCATCACCTGCTGGACGCTTAGTCGCTATGCACACTGGGTAGTTAGCCAGCCCCCAGACACTTACTTGAAGCCATTAATGACCGAGTTGCTAAAGCGCATCCTGGATAGCAACAAGAGAGTACAAGAAGCTGCCTGCAGGTGAGTAAAACAGCAAAAAACACTACTTTGGGCACTGCATTTTCATGGGACGCTCTTTTAGTGCCTGTTTTGATAAATGCATGACTCCATTTTCAGCCACCATTGTATTTTTTCTTTTTCCTTTTAAATTAAGTTCAGCTTGTGGCGTAGTCACAAATTCTTCTGAATTCTGGTAAAATGAAGAAGTTACTTTGCGTGTCTCATGACTGGTTTGATTTCATAGTATGTTAAGCACTGAACTAAAATAATATACTGTAGTGTAAGAAAGCTACCTGTATAGGACACCTGTTTGGTGTGTGTGCTGTGGTGTGTGTGTGTGTGCGTGTGGTTTTTTTTTTTTTTTTTTTTTTCTTTTTCTCCTCTCTCCAGTGTTTGAAGTTACATGTTTCATTGACAACACCATTATCGCTGACACTGTTCATCTGGCTTTTGTATGTGTATGTACAATCAGTACAGGTAACAATGGAAACCATCCTATCATTGACTTATTGGTGTTGCTTATATCTGGCTCAGGATGACCAAAACATTTGCTTTATAATTTTTTGAGAGGGAGACTCCCCTCCTCTTGAAAGGAAGATCCTGGGATATAAGATTCCTTTTTACTCCTGTCTACTGATTTTATTTATTTATTTGTTAAGTAATGGCCTCATTGCATTGTATGCACCTCTTGTGCACGAAGCTCAGCAAGTTCTACATGCCAGTTTGTGTGGGTCAGGACTGTACACAGCAGATTTGTCAAGAAGATTTCTTCATAAAGCAGTTTGTTTTTTTTTTTTTTTAATAAAGCATTGTCTGCATCTGAGTGTGTGCTTAAAATGTGCTTTTTTAGTTTCTGTAGTGCATAAGGCAAAGATGAGACCAAAGTTCTTGTATTAGGTGCAAGGCAGTAGATGTATCCTTGCCTGAGAATGAATACAATGAGTTCAATTAAATTTATTAAGCAAGATTTGTGTATTAAACATTTTTTTCCCTTTTTGTCTTTAAACCTTGTCAAACATTTGGCTAGCAAATTTTCTTGCTTTAATTCCGGCTATTTCCTACATCTCTCTTCAAAGTGATAATCTCATGTTGTTTCCAAAATGAACATGGTAATACAAGAATATTTGCTTCACAGATTTTAATCCAGGGAGTTGGAGTTGAGTAAAATTGCTGTTGATTAAAAGGAAAAAAAAAAAAAAAAAAAAAAAAGAGGGGGGGGGGGGGGGGGGGACTTTTGTCCACACTTCTCATACAGAACGTGGTTAAAATATGCATGTAGTTTAAAAAAGATGTGTTGTAGTTGCTTAATATCTTTATGCAGTGCTTACAAAATATACACAATAGGAAGTGAAAATTGCTGAAGTAACAGAAAAGAAATAAGGTAAATACTAAAATAATAATTCAACTGATTTTAAAAAAAAAAGTTCAACCACTGATAGATTTATCCATATGTTAAAAAGCTTTCTTCAGAGTAAATTTTCATTAAAATTACTCCTGCAGCGAAAAAATAAACAGCTTGGGGAAATCTGCTTGGAGGGGAATGTGGAGCTGTTATAAGTCAAGCCATACTTGCTAGCTTTATAAATTGTAAGGACACGATGATCATAGTTGGAGAGGAGCAAAAAAACTTGCACCCCTACAATGAATAGTTACACAGATTTTTAATGTCTGCTATATTGAAAAATGAATATAGAGTATTACACATTTTCATAACCAACTTATGTATCATCTCCAGTATCTAATTGTCACTTCCGTTTTCTGCGGCTTTAACTGGGGATGCCCTAAAAGTTCCTTGACTTATGTATGTTCTCCTGCTCACATTTTATGTTTTTCTGAAAAAGCAAAATAATAACACTGATGTTAGCCATTTAAAGCATTCATAGTTGTACTGCACAAAAGGCATTTCTGTTTGGTAGCACTAGCAAGGGGATTTTCACCCCAACTTTGGGGCGATACATAAATGTTTAGTAAATGTTTAGTGCTAGGATAGGCTAATAATAGTCAGGTTAAAACAAGCAAGGCAAGTAAATCTTTAACTCATGATTTAAAATTTAAATATTTCTCTGAAGTGGTATATGTGTTTGTGTTTTTTGTGCCATTATGTCTGGTGTCTGTTTAATAGACAATCTGATGTGTGCTTTGACCAAGGCTGGTCACAATTGTTCATGTACTGTCTTCGTTTTCTGTGTCTTTATGTGTTTCCCTGTGCAGTGACCTCCAGGCTATCCAATGTTGGCCTGGTGCTTGGCTTGTACATAGGACTATAGCACACAATAAATGTAACAGCTTGCTTTCTGGTTCCTGATATTTCAGTTAATGTATTGTAACTTCTGGTGCAGTAATTCTAGGGATTTTTTTTCTTGTGTATGCATTCAATTTGTATTGAATAGCAATGCATTGTGATGTTGTTGTTTTGTTTTGTTTTCAAAGTACTGACTGACCTCTGTTTTTTTTTTTTTTTTTTTTTTTTTTTTTTTTTTTTTTTTTCCCCACATGCCTTCTTACTCTAGAAGAGGAGGCTTGTACAGAGCTTGTTCCTTACCTTGCTTATATACTTGATACTTTGGTCTTTGCATTTAGTAAATATCAGCATAAAAACCTGCTCATTCTTTATGATGCTATAGGAACTCTGGCAGATTCTGTAGGACATCATCTAAACAAACCAGTGAGTACCCCTTATTCTGTAGAAGCACTCATGGTATTTTGAGAAATAGGTTGTGTGCTTTGTGTGTTACAAAATGGAAATCCTGATCTTTCTATTTAGTTTTGGATCATATTAAATATTTACGTGTCAAATGCCTACATAGGCTGCTTGTAACTTGCCCACTATCCCAACCAATTCCTATTTTGAATACTACACTCTGTGTGTAGTCACTTTTGAGTTGTGCTTTGAATTTGATTATCTTTTTTCCAGTCTGAACACTTTTCAGGATAAAAGAGGTACCTTTAACAGTGTAGATACTAAAAAAGAACTTTGGAGAAGTAGGTGGATTGTGTATGTGAATTCCTAATCATAGAATCACAGAATGCTTAAGGTTGGAAGGTACCTCTAGAGGTCATCTAGTCCAACCCTCCTGCACACGCAGGGTCACCTAGAGCATGTGGCACAGGACTGTGTCCAAGTGGGTTTTGAAGATCTCCAGAGGAGACTCCACAACCTCTCTGGGCAGCATGTTACTTTTGGGGAACAGCTTTCAGTGCAACTAAGCTGTTCTGTGTGTCTTTCTAATGTATTGGAGCACGTTGTTGCCCGAAACTGCTTTATCAAGTGGTGGGAGAGACATGCACAAACACACATCCTTTGGGCAAAGCACGGATAAAATACAGGCACATAATGTATTTTTTGCAACATATGTGCTTATTAATAGAACATACATACGTTACGTGCATCTTATGCTGGTTATTAGAATTTGCATTGTCTCTCTAACTTTTCACATGGCAAACGCTCCAAAATAAAATCATTTGGTTTGTTGCCATGGTATTTTATTCTTTGTCCATACTTCAGACCTTCAGAATACTGTCTTTGGTCACAGCACTAGTTCATAACATCTTGCGGATCTTCTGGATAACTGGGAGCAGCAGGCGCTCTAGGGACACCCTGCTCAATGTCCTTGTGACTGAGCAGTGGCAAAGATACCCGTTCTCTATCGAGTTGGTGGAGTGCTGGTGGAAAAGGGTCCTTCTGGGAAGGATGGGAAATTACAGCCTTCATGGGTGATTAGTTGCTCGAGGAAGAATATCCACGGATGTGGATGGGATTGTAGCATGAGGGCAATAGGACATTGCTGAGAAAAGCAGATGACATGCAGGCAGATTGCATTGCTAGTAAAAAGATTTTTCCATATGCCCTGGAGTGATCATGTGGATTTATAAATCGGAGAATGTTGCTACATTGAAACTAAACCTGGAGGAAAAGATTCCCTTTGCAAAGGGTTATGTAGCTCTACCAAAAACAAAAACAAAAAAAAAACAAACAAAAACATTGTTGTTGAACTGAATGGAGTATTGTTTTTCCCTTTTTTATCGGATTCGGAAATTATTACATGGGTATTGCTTCACAAAAATAATTCCCACATTCCCACATGTGGATATGTGATGTATTTCTGGATACAATTAAACGCTTGTGGTGGCAGAACCATCCATTCTCTTCTATTTTTAATATCATATAGCTCACCAATAGCGTAAGGAAAGACAAAGTTACTTTTATGTAAAAGCTTTTAGCTGTATTATGTCAGTCACTGTTTCTTACTACCTGAAGCATAGTGCTAGAAACAGTTTGTTTGATATTAGTGTTTTGTTGAAAATCTTAAGACTTAAACACTTAAGATTAAGCTTTCATCAATAGACAGAACAGCCATCAATTTTTAAACAGATTACAACAGTAGTTGAGTTATGGTACATCAGGTTTTGTCTTTTGCCCAAAGAAAAGTATAAGTGATTCTTTATTCCATATTTAGTGTATTTTGAGGCTGGAAAAAACAAAATATATTAGAAGTGTTTCAGCAACTGATGCATTTTCATCCTAAACAGGAATATATTCAGATGTTAATGCCTCCATTAATTCATAAATGGAACATGTTGAAGGATGAAGATAAAGATCTTTTCCCTTTATTAGAGGTAAATGCTAAAAATTGAATATCCTTTATCAATTTATTTTAGGAATTAATCTTGCATTGCTAAATAAACATCTACTAGGACATGTGGCTGTAAAAGCTGACAGCATTAGGCATTTTTCATAATGGAGAAAATCTTACTGTAGTAAGAAAATCTTGGACTAAAGAAAGATTTAGGAAAAAGTTTACATTTCTGCTGTTTGAGTAATTTATTTAGAATTCTTTTAAAAAGAAAAAAAAAAGTGTTTCTCTTTTTAATCTCCCTCTCCTTTCATTCCTCTATTAAAGCTTTTGTCAAATAAGCCAAAGGTGGAAGTATATCATGTAAAATGTTTGTTTAAGCTTTCAAAATCTGAAGCAGGAAAACTCTTTTAGAAATCATAGTTTTATAGCCTAACTTCAATACTAAGACTTGTATGTGAGCAAGATGCTGCAGCTCAAAGCAAGTGTTAGCTGTGAATATTGTAGTAGCTGTATTCATATTCACTTTGTCGACCACATCTAAGAAGGTACTACTTCTGAGAAATTTTCTCAACTGGCATAGTTGAGAGAGTTGCAGTTAGCTCACAGTTGACTTGGCTCGGCAAATAAGTACTGATTTCCTAGGTTGTGTTCATTTATTCAGATTTATATGACTGCTTACAATGCTGACACTGCCCCCCTCAACCCCTCATCCTGCTAGTAAAAAGTGCTGGGGAGCATGAGGAAAATTTGTGATTTTTTTTTATTATTTATTTATTCCAGTGCCTGTCGTCAGTTGCTACTGCCTTGCAATCTGGCTTCCTTCCATACTGTGAACCTGTGTACCAGCGTTGTGTAAATCTGGTGCAGAAGACCCTTGCACAAGCCATGGTATTTTTCTATTGCTGTTCCTAGGATTTCAGAATATCTCGTCCAATAAATGTATTAAGTATGTAATATGGCTGTGTAGAGGGGTTTATAGTATAACTGTTGAATGTCTACATGAAACTGCAGTCATGAATCTGTTTTTTCTTTCACTTATACTTCTGAGACAATCTAATACTGGTTTTGAAAACGTGTGCTTCTTTTTGCAGTTGCACAATGCTCAGCCAGACCAATATGAGGCTCCAGATAAAGACTTCATGATTGTGGCTCTTGATCTGCTTAGTGGTTTAGCTGAAGGGCTTGGAGGCAACATTGAACAGCTAGTGGCTCGCAGCAATATCCTGACACTAATGTACCAATGCATGCAGGTGAGATGAACCTGCTTAATCCCAGAATTTTCTTTCTTAAGAGAATCAAAGCTACTGCTTGAATTTTTTTCCTTTCTCTTTTTAGGATAAGATGCCTGAGGTACGGCAGAGTTCTTTTGCATTGCTAGGTGATCTGACAAAGGCATGTTTTCAGCATGTTAAGCCTTGCATCGGTATGTTTCTTTTTGTGTATTAAACAATTTGTTTTACAAATAGTAAGAAGCTGGCTTAGGCATTGTTAAGCCAGCTTCTGTGGCTGGCCTTGTTATGGTGGTGTTAGTTTTCATGAGTCTATCAGCAGAAGTGTAGTCTTGCCTTATTTGTGTTTAAAAATGCATATTTTTTCTTTTATAGACAGTGAAGAGGTTCAGTTTTTCATCGTTGATTTTCATAACACAACGAACTGCCTGTTTTGCTGGAATAAAGCAATACAGACAGAGTTTAATTAGAACAGTTGCTTTCTTTGATTAAATTCTTCAGTTTGTAACATCTATTGATCTGCTATAATTTAGTGCTATACAATTACTTATATACTAAAATTAGAAAACTTGGAGGGAAAAGTTATTTTTGAGCAGGGAAGTAGCATCAGTTACTTCCAAAATATTTGTTATTTCCACCCTAAAATACCCTAGAGATGCCCTCAGCTGGCCAAGTGAGTGTTTGAGTAGGCTGGGAACTGAAGAGAAAGGGAGACACATTTGTAGGTTTACATAAAGGTAAAGGCTTGTGTAGATCTGTTTAGATTCTAAAATCCAGGTTAATCCACTATGTAGCAGAAATATAGCTCCTGTTAATTCATCCATAACACCTACCAAGCATTTAAATAGGCTTATGCTTAAAAATAAAAAGGGGAGGGGGGAGAGAAGGAGAAAAGCTTTTATTGTGAGTTTACAGTATTGGGGCATGATGGTTGTATTGTGTGATGATGAAATTTTAAAATGCTGTTCTTTGTAGCTGATTTCATGCCCATTTTGGGAACCAACTTAAATCCTGAATTCATTTCTGTGTGCAACAATGCCACCTGGGCGATCGGAGAAATCTCCATTCAGATGGGTAAGATTCTTTTTTGCTTTTAAGAGTCTTTCTTGAAAGTTTTTGTTTTTGACATGCTTTGGGTGTTTTGATTTTTCTGAATGATACTTTCACATTGAAATTTAAATTAAATTTGAGATTCTTCTCCTGATATGAAGTTCAGTGTACTGGATTTATTGAGATTATGTGTATTAATGTACATTTTCTTCCAAATCTTTGTTTTTGACTATTTTAGGTATAGAGATGCAGCCTTATATTCCAATGGTGTTACACCAGCTCATAGAAATAATAAACAGACCCAACACGCCAAAGACGTTGTTAGAGAACACAGGTACCCAAAAACTGAAACATTCATGGTAAAGGGAATTAGGGTTTTTTTCTTTGTTTTGGCTTTAAAAAAAATTACATAGGGAAATCACAGCATAACTAGTTTCAGTACTGTGTACTGGGGTTTTCTAAACAAAACCAAAGAAGTTTTGCAGAAGTTCCTACAAGTCTGTCTTGCAGAAAATCATCTATCATATATCTAGATTATTGAAATTGTTGCTTTCTCACTGTAACTTGTATTTATCATTATCTACAGTTTTAAGTATTTTCTTAAATTTTATTTGTTTATTCAATATGACAAATGTATGCAGTAACACTTTTAAGACTTAGTGGCCTTACTTTACACTGATTTTTATGTATGCATGTACTTATATATAATGTGTACTGTGTGTGTATATATATGTCCAGTGTTTGAAGCAAATGTAATTGGCACAAAGAAACAAAAAATGAACTCCCTTAATTTACAAAAAAGACTAGGTTTAAAAATATATATATAATATGCATTAAATCTAGATCTGTGATGGATATATCACCACAATGTAACTGAAATTGTGCGATGTCTTATTACCTGGTGACTTGATACAAATTTCTGGAATAAGGGCTAACAGTGGCATGCATGTTTATGCTCCAGCTAACAACTTTGGCTGTTTCAAAATTCTAAATTTCTGAGGCTTGTTTCTTTTGCATTTTAGAGGGCATGTTCTGATATGAAGAACACCTTCCATACTACAGGAAAATGCTATTAATGCCTTGAGGTCTTTTTGTTTTACTATTTTTATTAATAGATAATCTTTCCTTTTTTTTTTTTTTTCTTCTTTTTTGCTTGATAGGTAATTATCATATGAGAAACTGATAATTTAGTCATTATAACCTGACATGATTGAAAACAATACAAGTTCAGTGCTACAGTTGCATTCTTATGAGATAAACATGAGATACACATTGAAAAGTCTCTCCAATTTATTTCCCTCCAGTATTTGGGGAATCTTAAAAGCTCCAGTTTCCCTACCTCCTTCTCTCCTTTCCCTTTCTTTCCCAATCTAGTATGGAAGGTGAACTTGAAGAAAAATTAGCTAGATGTTTGGCATATTATAGATATTGCATTTTAAATGGGATAATTTGGGAGTAAATACAATGAAGTAGACTATGGAATAGTATAGCAGTATAAAAAATATTTTTTTATTTACACCCCCTCCTTGTTCCCCCCCCCCCCCCCAATGGATGTGTAGTACCTGTAACTAACAGGCATCCAGTACTTAAATGCTTGCTTCCATTACTATTAGAGAATTTTTGGAAGCACTCAAATACTGATATTTTGTTTATTCTCTTAATTGTTACTTTAAATGTGGATGCATAACTGCAAATAAATGTTGTGTGGTGTACCTATTATAAGTCTGTTGTAGGATATTGTGCTGCGTACCACTGGTATATGCTAGTGTATTACAGTTTCCTACTGTGGTCTACTCTGAGATATTAAGACACATCTCTTTATGGAAACATGAGAAGGCAGTAGCTAAAATTGTATAGAAAGTGAGTACATGTAAAAATTTCAACTTTGACAGAAATTATACTTGCTTTTACAGACTGTAGCTATGAAGCCTTAGGGATGAAACCTCTGAGTGTACCTGCTTTTAGAAGTAGTACTTTAATTGCAAATAACAGATTTATTATTAACATAATGCTTGAATTACATACTTAAAAGCAAATCTCACAGAAAAGGCAGTTTTGCAAATTAGATCTGTTGAAAGCTTTAGATGCTGAACACTGAGTACTATCAGAGAGGGTGGGGAAAAAAGAATACCAGTGTGCTGCAGCTTCTGTGGAGTGAGTACACTTCAGGCTGCCAGTATATCCTACACCAAACTTTTTTTGGAGAAAGCATCATCTGCTTTATTGCATGTTTCATGAAACTCTTCACAAATGCCTGTTTAATTAGTGTTGCATAGTGTGTCCCTTGAACATAGGTTTCCTTTCACTGCTTCATATAAATCTGCTGGATTTTAGTATTATTCATGTATTTTGCTTCAAGTAATCCTGATACATTATTCCCCACCCTCTCCTTTTTCTAAAGATTAATCTTCTGTGAGTTGAGCAAACACCATTAAAACACAATTGTATGATGATGTTTCCTTGTGTGTCTCCTTCAGAACAAAGGCCCGAACGATTTAATTGCACAGAGAAGCAGTTCTGCTCTTCGTGTGTCCTAGTGCCTTTGTATCAGAAATCAGATTCTGGGGTGACTTCTGTGAAGAATCCTCTTGTGAACAATAGAAAAATTGGGATTAACTGATCTATTAGATGCAATTAGTTGCTGTGAGCAACCACTTTCAAATAAAAACTCAACCACATCATAAAGAAAATAAGTATTTGGTGCTTACTGAGAAGGGCATCATTTATTACTTTTTAGGTCGGCCCCAATATGTACACTGTAAACATTTCTAAATATAGCTGTATTGATAGTTCGACCAATTAAAATCTTGAAATACATTTTTTTCAAAAGTTTATAATACTTAATATAATGATTGAAAATGCCTCATTCCTTTTTATCAAGAGTATCCAGAATAGTACATTTGATTAAAACTTAGAAGTGTACAGTAGTTAAGTTGAATGTGAGAGCTACCTGTAAAGAGGGCAGAATGACTACTTGTTTCAAGAAGCCTTTGGATTTGAAATTGTGTTTTTGGTGTTCTCTCACTTTTTCTTTTTGACCTGGAGAGTATACCATATATATTGCTGCCTCTTATTTAGGGGGTGGTAATAAACAGCACTGGTGAAATCTTATGTTTATTATCATACACAGATTCTGTTGGTTTCTGTTTCTGAGTTATTTGTTGTTTTTTCTTTATTTTTTCTCCTTCCCCCTCATTTGCTCATGTCTTGGTTGGCGTTTGGTGGTGTATAACCGTGATTGCGTTACCTTAGCAATAACAATTGGTCGTCTTGGTTACGTTTGTCCTCAAGAGGTGGCCCCCATGCTACAGCAGTTTATAAGACCCTGGTGTGTATTATTCAATCTTTTTTTTTTTTTTTTATTCATTTTTCTTCACTCTTTCTTCTCTCTATCTCACTTTTAGATATATTTTCAGTTGGTTACAAAATCTCAATCCTTAATCATTGCCAACCATGTGACTAATCTTGTCCTATAAGGTTTGTGAGTTTTTAGTAGCACCATCATGTATTCTTTATGTTGTGGCTAATGACCAATTTATGCATGGGATAAGATTGTCACATGCTTGCTATGTTAAAGAGCTTGACTATGAAAGAGCATTTTAAAATACACCAGAATGATAATACAATGCATGCAAATACTGTAAAAGTTAAACCGTGCATTGCTTTACTTAATTCAGTCTGAGGCTTGAATTGCTGTTAGAAATTTATGTTTATAGACTTGTTATGTATAAAATAGTTTGCTTGCTGCTGTAAAAGTTAAATAACCGTTCCTTAAGTGGTATCTGACATAATTCATAATGCAGTCATAGTATATGTTCTGCTTCTAATAATGATAATTTCTATAAACATTTCATATACATGTTTCTTTTGTATTTAATGGAATGTGGGTCACACTTTATAACTGCAGATTCTGCAGATCATGCCTAATGTACATAAGAGTAGTAAATGCAGTGCGCAACAAGTATTTTTCCATCTTTTAAGTGTTCAGAGTAGTGTTTCATGTCATCTTATCAGTGTGACTTATTCCATCAAATACTGTTGCATAGTTCTGACTTAGCTGATTCTGTTACTTTGTCATTCAATTAACAGTTTTGCTCTCCAACTTATTAGGTGCACTTCTCTGCGAAACATAAGGGACAATGAGGAAAAGGATTCAGCCTTCCGGGGGATATGTACCATGATATCAGTCAACCCCAGTGGAGTAGTCCAAGTAAGATACTTGAATGGATATTTTTTTTTTGTTTATTCAAGTGAAATTTAGTGAATGCTGTAAATGGAGTATTAAAAAATTCACCTTGATGTTGGTGTCCTGCAATACATGATGTAGCTTTATTTTTGAGCTAAAGGAGAGCAGAGTGTTTGTATCGCTAGTGACAGGCCTAGCGGTATCTCAGGGTTTCTCTTTCAATCATCATCATCACGGAAAGGAAAAGGATGGAAGTGAGGTAGGCTCGTATTCAAATTGTGTGTCTCTAATTAAAGTGTAAAATAAAAGTATAAATAATGAGCCTTGATCAAAATATCTGGGTTTTGAGATTTTTTGATGAATAGACTGGACCTTGAACATACTGTTTTAAAGAGACAGTGGGACAAGGAAGATGTGTTTCTTTAAATATTGCATGCTTGGAATAGAACAGGACTTGCTCATTAGTCTCCACAGCTCCAAAGTAAAGCTATACCAGTGTAGTATGTAAGAGAAAAGGTGGATTTCTGAAGAAGTCATAAGGATTTTGTACAGAAAATATGATACAAATTGTTTTTTTAAATACACAGGTCTTCCCTCTTTGCTTTCAGTCTTTCTCCCTGAAATGCACGAGTTGAGCATTTGTCTTGTTTTAAAAATGTTCAATTCATTTTCTAATGCCTGTTACTATACTTAGCATTGCCCTCTCTTGCTGTCCACTTGTTCTTTCACACAACTTAAGGAGGAAGAACTTAAGAACTTTTTCATTATCCCATCTCCTTTCCTGTAATTATCCTTAGTTCCCATCCAAGAAAATATATTATCAACTTGATGATTAAAGATTTTTTTTAAGAATGTAGTGGGGGGGGGTGGTTAATGCGGGGGAGCCAGGAGCCAGTGGAGTGAGTGAGGAATTTGGGGGTGAATGCTGAATGCTAAACATCATGTGTCCCAAAAACTTCTCTCTTCCTTGAAGAAATACAACAGCACCTTTTTTTTTTTCTCCTCTGTGTCTCTGTCTGTGTCTCTGTCTGTGTCTCTGTCTGTGTCTCTGTCTGTGTCTCTGTCTGTGTCTCTGTCTGTGTCTCTGTCTGTGTCTCTGTCTGTGTCCTTTTCCCTTCCTCTCCTTCCAACTCAAAATTTGCCAGAAAGAGTTGCTAATGTAGTTTTGGTTGCTTGGTCTTGAACTTGGTCAGTGTACCAAGAATTAGACAAGTGGGTCCTGGGAGAGATTTTTTGTTTTTGTAACAGTGTTTTAAGTTGGTGATCAAATAAAACCAATTTCTTGCACCTACGCATGCAATTATTTACCATTATTGCCTGAAGTGACTGGAAAGTAAATAAAATCAATTGTGAATTGAGTTCAAAGACACTGTGTAGTTCATAGAATGAACACCAAGCATTGCATTCGCACCTATAAATTGAGGATTCTAACCTGTCTGATTGTTTAATCTTATAGGACTTTATTTTTTTTTGTGATGCTGTTGCATCATGGATTAGCCCAAAAGATGATCTTCGAGACATGTTCTGTAAGGTAATGTTTCTAGTATAGCAGTATATTGTAACTGGCTTTTCTGGATCCTCTGTTTCTTGTTTTTTTCACTTACTGTTTTTGTGATTATAAAAGCTACTTTGCAAATCTTGAACTTGAAAACAACATAAAAACCTAAAGTTTTTTATCTTTTATGTTTTGTTACATACGCTGAGTTTATTCCAAACTTTTTAACAAAACTGGAAAGCATAGGATCTTAGCAGAAAGGGTAATCGCCCTCTCAAGGAACTTCTCGTAATGCCCAGCCTCCTACTTTTTGATTGCGTTTTAAAGAACAATGTTTTTGTTTTTGTGTGTTTACTACATAAAAAATACCTTTTTTATATGTATTCATATAAAAATATAAAATTTATTTCTTTTAAGAAAATGTGTGTTTTGGGTATGGGTGTTCATGTTTTGTTTTTTTTTGTGGCAAAAAACAAACAAACAAACAAAACCCAAAAATAACTATTATGAGAAAATAACTAGAGTTGTGACTAAAAATATCTAGTGCTATCCTGTTTCGTTTTTTTTGCTTCTGCTGAAAAATAAGATTTTAGGATTATTGATTCTCTGCAGAATCTATCTTTGAGTAATGAATAGAGCAAAGCTTAAAGAAAAATGATACCAAGACCAAGAACTCATTTCTAGACAAGCTGTCAATATTGTTTAGGGAAAAAATGATCAATTTGCTTTGTGTGTTTAAAAAGAAGGAAGAAAAAAAGGCAGAGAAACGGATTATTATCTTTGTGTTAGTTTTGAGGGAGTTTGACTTTTTTTTTTTTTTTAAAAAAAGTCAAAGTCAATATTCTCGGTTTCATAGGCAAATGCTACTGCTGTTCAGCAGTGTGGTGCTCCTTGTGTGTAAAAATTGAATGTTTTTGAGGTATCTATATCAAAATTAAATGAGACACCTCTAAATTGGAAACATACACTCTTAGCTACTTACCGAGTTCATGGGTCACTATTGCATTTTCAGATGATTCAAATGATGCTGAGTGTAAAGATCAGAAGAGATGTTAGAAATTTTGCATGCCATGCTGAGGAGCAAAGACAGAAATTTCTCGATCTTAGATAGGAAACAGTTATCTGAGATGCTTCTAAGAAACGTCAAGTTTGGGAAATGCAGAGCTCTGAGAGTTTAAATATCAGTAGAAGAAAGCAACAAATAATTGCAGTCTTAAAGCCCAGGGCAGTGTCTATGTTGATTGCCCCAAGCGGTTTCAGTGCATGTTTCTGCACTGATGCTTCAACCCAGGAGGGAAGGAGCTTAGCTTACTGCAGCAAGTAGTCATTTATGTTCTTTTCAAGAAGGCCACATGAGATGCAGTCAGTGCACTCAGACTGAACAGTGGCTTTGATCAGTGGCATAGAAAGGCATATTTGCTTTTGACATTATATTTTCCCTTTTGTTTGGTTTTGCTTACTATATAAGAAAGGAGCTGGGCCTTTCTTCAAGCGATAACATATGACTTAATTCCTTGAGTGGGTGTTGATGAATCTGAATACATGATTACTGTATTCCAGTTTCGAGTTTATGCAAGCCCTTCTGCAAAGCCTTCTGCTGCCAGGTGTTAAGATATGACACAGGCTATAATTTTATCTATATTTATATTTTAATTTTATTATCACCCTTTCTTAAAGCAAGGCATTTAAGACTGTAGCTGAAGGTCACCTGTTAAAACTGTACTGAAGGATTATTAAAAGAGTCTGTTAACTTTTCTGGTACCTGAGCATTCCTGGGTTTTATTGGTTTTTAAGTAGCTGGTAATCCGACTCTTGGTTGGGGGAAGAGAGGAGGGTCTATTTGTGGTCAGCAGGTGACCCTGTCATGTCATTTTTTTTCCTACTTAAAAGCAGTTGTGCTCAAGAATGTTGCATTGAGGGTAAGCTGGATACCATAAGCTTTAAATTTGATATTACCTCATCCTCTTTCAGGATGTTTTCATGACAGGTAGATTCTTAATTCAGTATCCTTGTGTTCAAAAACAGAGGGGGGAGGGGAAAGGCAACTTAGATCTCTGTGTTATTCCCTAGAAAGAGGGGCCATGTAATCTGCTTTTGCTCTTTTTTTATATATATTTACCTTTCTCGGAGAAGAAAAGAATGCCTTTTTGACAGTATCCTTTAACTTCAGCAGTTTAGGTGATTTGTTATCTGACTTGGACTGATTTTTTTTTTTGTTTGTTTGTTTTTTAAATACTGGCTTTTGACTGATGTGGATCCATGTTTTTCAAGTGCATAGATGACTTTTGACTTCCTCTGTGGTGCAAGCTGAGAGGGGGAGTGGAAAAACACAGCTACCCTAGCAGATGCTTTTACATTTGTGACAATAAGAATGCCTGCCAGTTCCTGGCAAATAGTGACAATGGTTCTGCCTTGCTTTCCTTCTTGACCTTTAGAAAGACATGTGGATACAATAATCTGAATTTATAAACTGTCAATTGATAAACGTTTAGCATTCTTAAATAGCCAAACTCTAGCCTGCAAGTGACTGTATCCAGTAAAAATATTTGGTTTTCTGTTAATTGGCTTGGATAGCTATATTCTAGATGCTATCATACTTAATGTAGGTGAATTTTATGTAAGACTTTTAGTAAATGTCCTTTCTTTGTTACTATTATTTAAATATTAGATGTGAGAACATAAGTGGAGAGCGATTAATGATTGTCTTAACTTTCTTCCTTACTGTCCTGTTTATAGATTCTTCATGGATTTAAAAATCAAGTTGGGGATGAAAACTGGAGGCGTTTCTCAGACCAGTTTCCTCTTCCCTTAAAAGAGCGCCTTGCAGCTTACTATGGAGTTTAACCTCATGTACTTTAGCTGCAGTCCCATAATTAGAGGTAAGCACGCAAAGCACAGTTACTAAACAGTTGTAAACAGGCTTCTTCTCTATTTCCTTTATGTGAAACCTTATTAATTATTGACCAGGTTAATTTTTTTCAGATACATGGGAAGAGATAACTCTTCTTCCTATAAGAAGAAAAAAAGGATGATATTGTACCTGAATGATTGTAGCTGTAGCAATAGCTGTTGTCTGGATGTGTTTTTTGAGAGTGTGGGAGAGACCTCTCTGCACAGTGATGTGTCAAGACATAGTGGGAAGTATAGCTGTAGCAAAGTGCCTATTTGGGCTTAATAAGCTAAGTGATGAATATGATCCTCAAACCATCATCTTGAAGATATGGAGCTTTGAAAGACGTGCTCATGCTGTGTCCTATGAGTGGTAGATAGTGGATGTGGTCTATGCCGGAATGCTTCCCTGGGATAGGGCAAGTAAATTTTAAGACACTGGCTATGAGAAGTCTTCTATACATACTAGGTCATTTTTGCACTGAGTAAATTTAATCCTTAATTTTACTGACTCTAAAGCCTGATGTTTTGGGGAGCTTGATGCATTTATTATTGCAGTGTCCCACTTTATACACCAATTTAGAACTTTTGCAGTTGTGTCATGGAGAATGACAACTTCAAATATAGCAAAGAGTGGTTGATGTGTATTCTGGGATAATGCCTCATACCTTCCTGCTTTTTATGCTGTCCCTACACACTGTGTAAAGAAGTCCCCACGTACAAAGTAGTGTGATGCTATGGAAGATTATTGTAATTATTATACTAAATAATCTTTGATTAGTAAAAACACTAAAAATAAGGATGGATTAAGTTTCATTCATTCATCTTTATTAATTTGATATTTGCTCTAGAATTTTTGTACTGAAATTATGGGATTGAATCATGCAATTCTGTTATATTGTTGAATGGATAACTATTTACAAGTCAGCCTAAGATTATATACAGAGTGATATAAAATACCCTATTTGAATTATATGTTTGGTCAGAACAACAGATAGAAAAATGAACTTGTTTCATAGATTTACATGTTTATGAATTACAGAGTTTTAGTTCTGATTTAAAGGGTTTTGGGGAGTGTTTTTTCTCCTAGTGAGGAGGAACCTCATCACTGTCCAGTTTGTATTGAGGGGTCACTATCACCATCTTGTTTAATCAGCCTGAAAATGAAATTGTTAGTTCAGGAAAGCTTTCATACAATAATCTTGTTCTTGATGTCTTAACCATCTTACAATTTTGGACCAAAAGGGTTCAAATATAGAGGACTTTTAAAATATATAGAACTGCTTTTGTCTTAAATCTAAGCCTAGCTGCAAGAGTGCAACTGTTAGTGCAGCTTTAAAGCATACATCATTGCTTCTTGAATAATACTTTTACTTTTTATAAATGTGATCCTTTTAAAAACAAATTTAAAAGGACAAATCTAGGCACAGTTTTATTTTTAACTTGAAGACTGACCTTTATTACTTAACCAAGAGATCTTTTATGGTGATGGTGTCTTTTATGTATGGCTTTGTCAGTTAAACTTTGAAATAGGGTTCAACTATCCCTTTATCTCTTCATTTTACAGGTCCTTCAGTCTGGAAGACTATGAGGGAGCCTCTGCACCCAGGGAAAATGTTACCCTTTACTGGGGGGAAGGGTAAACCAGTAGGGAATACAGTACAATCCCAACCCTACTGGGAGGGGCGGGAGGGAGGTGTTGCCGTCACTGTATTAAGTCGATGTTGGGAAATGTTTTAACATCTGGAGCCTTTGTAGGTGGAAATCTGTCTCCTATTACAACTCTGCACTGGATGTGAAGAAGAAAAAAAAAAAAGGAAAAAAGAAAAAAAAAAAAGTCTATTCACAAAACAGCACATTCTGGAATATTGTGGGGAATTGTACCAAAATAAGAACCATATAATTGAACCATAGGGATACATAAAGAGGAAAACTATTTTGCGCACAATACAGGAAACCTAAGAATGGGGGTCACAAACAGTAAAAGGCTTTCTTTTTTTTTAATTTTTTTAAGTAAGGGTTTTCTACATTATTTCATCCTGCTTGGTGGGATTCCTAGGTATTTGCATGTTAATGAAGAACTACACAAATGAAGTTAGTACAGTTAAAATGCAGCTTGTGTCTGTATTAGGAGCAGGAACTTGCAG